ATACCTTGCTCCTCCTCTCCATCATGTACCATGTATTGGTCAATTCAGGATGCCACTGTGGCTGGCACAGTGTCTCTGCACATCGTAAGCATTTGTTACATCCTTTTGCTTTCTATCATTCTCTTGTCTTTAGTACATGTTTGCAATACACGGTGCTTTTCCTCCGTGTGTAGAGCTAGTACATGCACATTTCTTTCCCTTTCACTCCCGTGCTCTCCCTTCCCTCTGTGTGTTAGCTCCTCATTTGGGAAAGCTTTCTCACCCTGCATTTTTTGCTCTTTAGTTAGGATTTGAGTTTCTCTTATAGGAGAAACCATGCAGTATTTGTGTCTCTTTCTTTTTAAAGAGCAAGTTGATAGGTCTATAATTTCCATGGGGCAATGAAACAACTGCATTAGAATATGACCCCCAAAGGAGCGAGTGACACCTGAATTAGGAAGTGAGCAGGGAGTGTCACTGAGGCAGGAGTCAACAGGTAACTCAGCTCTGCGGCCAGAGGCCGGCCAGTTTTCCTGCAAAGAGGCAGGGCCAGATAGTAACTACTTCTGGCTTTGTGAGCCATGAAAGTTCTTTGTGAGGAACACTTATCCCTCCATTGTAGTACAAAGCAGCGTAAATAACACTTAAGTAAGTGTATCTCTGGGCTACTCTGCCTGTATTAGAACAAAGGCAGGGGCCTCTGCGGCCAGCAGGCTGCACCTTACTGACCCCTACTACCATCCACTGTGCCCAGTATTTCATGTGTGGTGGAAGAAAAATTCAGCAGACAGTAATTAGTGTCTGTTCTGTGTTACCAAAGGTTCAGAACTAAGTTAGGGGCCAGTTGAATGCACATGCATTATTCTTTTCTGGAATTCAGCAGGGTAGGGTCTGAGGAGCAGAATTTTCTCCTTGGGAGAGACTCGTGTGTCAGCCCAGCCTGCTCACCCTGCCCGGGCGCCCACTCTCATACTCCAGCTACCGGCCATGTGTTGGGACCAAAAGTGGCGAGTGTACCCTTGGGACAGACAGAAGATTTACATCTAGCTCTACCGTCCACTCTGCGAGAGACCACACCTGCTTCATCTAATTCGGTCTTCCCAGGAGCCTGATGAACAGAGCCCCATTATTCCTACTTTACAAAGGGGACAGTTGGGGCCCACAAGACCAAGTCCTATCTCCCATCTCACATCCTGACTAGTTGGTAGTACAGCTTGGGTCCAACCCAAGACCACAAGAACATTATCACAGATGTCATACACAACAGATTTTCTTTGAGCATAAATAGTTTATTTTGCAAAGAAGAGAAAAGATCGGAAACATCTTGAATCCAAAGGAAGGAGCTGAGAGGAGGGCTGGGTGAGCATGACCACTTTAGGGTGGGTTTCTGTTTTGTTTTGTTTTGCTTTGTCTTAACATTAACATTGTGGCTATGAGCTGGAAAGGGCATGCATTCTTCATTCTTTTTTCATTACTCGAGAATTGTTGCAACCATTATGCAAAACCAATAAAAAGAAAAAAAACATTTTTAAAAATGTCATCTGGCAGGCAATGCCCAGCTGAGGAGCAGCACCAGTCTCCTGGGAGAACAATATGCATTTTGTAAAATTTCTTAAGAGACAATTTATGGTTTCGAGAAAACAAAACAGGAAATTGAATTAAAAGGAGAAACATATTTAAATAATACTCCAGTGATGACATAATCAAAGTCCAAAAATCACAAGTTAGAGTCAGGCATTGTCAGTGCAAGATTTTTCTGGTCTCTGTGGGCAGTGTCCATAAAGGAAGAGAGCTGTTTTATTTAATTGTTTCCACATCACAACTTTTGTATAGAGGATGAAAACTTAACTTCTTAAATGGGAACAATAGCCCGAGATATAAGGTGCGTGGTACATCTTTACTGAAAACTGCAAGATGTGACCTTCACTCTGACCTTATGGATTGTGTTGTTTATTTTGGGATTGGCAAAATTTCACAAGGAAGGGCATTCAGGGAAGGTCTCATGGGTACCCTTTTCATCTGTGCTTAAGGCTTCTTGTGGAATAAGCAGAGTAAAAAACATACATGATAAGAAAAAAAGGTTTTCTATCAGAAAGAAAGAAAATCTCGAACCATTTGCTACAGTCAGGAGTAAGTAGATACACATACCTTTTTTTCACGTCGTGGTTCATAAAAAATAAGTTTCAGAAAGAGAATGTTGATTCCTTATTAAAATCAGTATACAGCTACGTAAACATCTACCAATTTCCATTTGGTTTTCCACAATTCTGAAAGAGCAGAAAGTAAAAGAGAAAATCAGCGGACACCTGAAGAGGTTTAAAGTCTGAATCTCACTCAGTGCTGAAGGAGGGTTATTTTTCTCACTAGCGGTATAACGATACTTTTATACATAAAGATGAACATTTGTACACTCTGCATTTTCTTAATTCGGTACTCAAAATGTAGGCATTGTTATCATACAGCTTTGATTTTTAGGGAGACTACTGAACTGTTTAGTTGTGTCTTTGATGCTGCCAGACTCTGAACTCCCTTGCTAATCTGCCTCAAAGAGGGAGTAAAACCTTCTGTCATCCAGGGCAATGACAGTGTTCCTGACCGTCTCACGAAAGACGTCTTCCTGCTCATCTGATTCTCTCTTTGATGTAATGGGGTGGGTTTACAAATAGCATATTGTAAACTTCCCCTTTGGGGTGCATGGTGCACATCTCTGGAATGGCTGGCTGGATGAGTGGTTCAGGTGGACACTCTGACATCATCATCTGGACACTGAGTCGCTAACCACCCAGGAAGTCCATTGCATTTCATCTTTTCCATCAGAGCAGAAAACCCTTAGCGCAAGAGCTATAGCTACTGACTTTTATACCCATAGCCCCTGGAGCACAGTACGTAATCTTTAAAGTCAGCTGAGGAACCAGAAAGGTAAGCACAGAAATTAAACAGAACCTGAAGTATTTTTACAAAGGCTTGATGCCAGGTGGTAGGTTATTTGCAAGGTGGCTTCTGTAGCTGTGCCCAGCTCTGAGCTTGACCAGGGGTCTTGCATTGATAGTGGGGTACAGCAGAAGTGCCAGTGAGACCCTAAGTCTCATGAGGCCTTGCATCTTCTTTCCTTCAGACCTGCAGTGCAACCACCTGTCAGGCTCTGCTGCTGGAGACACAGGCCTTGCTGACAGTGACTATCAAGCTTGGGATGTTGGTGAAGTCGCTTAGCCCACAAAGCCAGGTGAATGGGGCTTCATAAGTTACACTCTGTGAGGAAGTGAAGACCTTCCCAGTGGAGATCAACTGGGACAATGAAGCCCTTAAGTCTGAGACAGACTTTTCCGTATAGCAATAGGTAACTGCTACCTGCGAGCTTTTGAAAGTAGACCAGTTTCATCTCTCACATCCTTGGCGTGAATAAAACCAGACAATCTAATCATCAGAAACCAACTACAAACAGCCACTTCCATTCCTCTTAGAGCTGAACACATCTGCATCAGCAATCAGCAGGAACATTTGTTTCTTCTTCTTAGGGTCAGCTCTGGGAAACCACATTTTCAGGTCAAAATGTTGAGGAGGCAAGTTTGGCTGAACCTGGGCTCTGTGTTGTTTAGTGCAAAGAAACCTACTGATGATGCTTTTCTTTGGAATTTCCTATACAATATTAACAGTTCTGTGATAATGAACTTGAGGAGCACAATTAAAAATAAAACTTTGAGGAGTGATGAAGTTATCCTGCTTACTACGATGCAGAAGGTTCGGATCCTGAGATTTGTGAGCTAAGAGGAGGTGTGGCTTATTGCAGAACAATGCTAGCGTAATGACTAGGAGTATGCAGAGATCATGAGCTTCGCATGTGCCAGGAGCCTGAGGGTCATCTCTGACAGAGGAAGCGAGGTCTCTGTCTTTTATGATGCTTAATAGATTTTCTTAGCGAGGAAATTGAAGAAGCAGAAAATCTCCCTCCCTTCCTAATATTAAATAAACTGCAATAACTGTATCACTACAGTAAATGACACACTTTGCACAGGTTATCTCAATGTCAAAAGTGTCTTATGGTGGGGAGATATTGTTATCTCTGAGGAGATGAATAAGCCAAGCCTCGAGCAAGTTGAGAGACTTGTTAGGGTCACAGCAGGCTGGGTAGAGGACCTGAGCCCAGGGTGTCTCATTCTAGAGCACTTTCCCTGAAGCATGGTGTGAGACTGTTATATTCTTTAAAATGTCCAGAGCCGTGAGGAAGAAAAGCACCCGGGGAGCCATAACCTCACACCGTTATGGAACTGCGAGACATCCTAAAGCGAAGGTCACCGTGCATGTGTGTGTTCTTCCCACCCCACCATCTAAATCATATTGGATGAAAATGCAACATGTTATGAGGAAGAAATGAATTCTCTCCAGGACTATTTTTTCCCCTTCACAATACCAAATTACTTGAAAAATTATTTTTTTCCAAACTAAAACAATATTATTTTCAGTTAGGATTTGCCATTGTGTAGAAATATGTTTTGTTCATTGTGTAGACCATAATCAAGATTGAAACAAATTCAAAAATCTGTCCAAAGATATGGTTGAAAAGCACCAGCAGATGTGAATTCCCTAACACGGAACGACTGCTAGCTATGGTTTTATTCCCAGTGACACCGGGAAGACTTCATGTCTGACAGAACTAATTGAAAAAGTAGAGACCTTCGCAAGCTATCTCTACGGAGGAACCAGCCATGCTCTGCCAGTTCCTTTTTTGGTTTAATGGCAAGGCACAGTGTTCTGTCCTGAACCTCTGGAAGACGGAATCGTGTAAATACAGAGCAGAGAGGGGAGCTCTTACAGATGGTGGGTGAAATGAGCTGTCTGGGAAAGCATTTTTGAATTTCAGTTTACACAACACCAAACAAACTTTTGATATTAAGCCATTTTAAAGTTCTTAAATTGTGGTGGAGCGTGGGAGACATTTTTACCTACAAATTTCTTTTCAAATTGATACCGCCACAAAGATAGAAAAAGTTTCCAATCCCAAACAAATCCGCTGCTGACTAACCCAGGCCCTCGTGCCCGCCCCAACCCGAAGGAGCTCTGTGCTGGAAGAGATCCTGAGATAGAGGGAAGGAAGGCAGAACCTGGGCTGTTAATTAATTTGCTCAGGATTCCCCTCCAGCAAGCCTTCGGCATTCCCTGTTTTTTCTTAATTACGCTCCTAGGACAAGCACAGACAGCTAGGGATGGGAAGAGAGGACAGAGGAAGCGCGGGCACTTTGAAAGGCTTGCGTCATGTCACAAAGCCACATCTAGAAGATCAAAATGAACCAGACTGCTGCTGCTCCTGCTGTGACCACGTTACTGTAATCAAACGAGATCACCAAGGGGCCTCTCGGTACCAGGTGGACTGGGCACTCCTGCCCGTGGAGAGCAGCCAAGCCAGATCAGCTTCTCATTACTGTCCCAGCTGGCTTTTGCATTACTACTTCCCCCGTCAAATTGTGTTTCAGTTTGAGTAATCTTTGATCATTTAGAGCGTAATGCTTGAAATGTTCCTATCAGATGAGAAGACGTGTTTTGGGAGAATCTCACCTCAAACTCTCTTTGGTACTTGGTGAAGTAGGGAAGGCAACCAATATCTCAAAAATGCACTCGTTCTATTCAGGACAAAGAAGATGGGACACATAAAACACGTTATCTCTGTAGCCGAGGGACACTGAAATGGACAGGATACCCTGTTTACAGCAGCTGTGGGCTGGGGATGACCCACGATTGCAGCTGGTGGGGCCCCTGTAAGAGCAGTGTCCCTGAACCCAACACGGTATGTAAAACTCAAATCCTCTGCGCTGCCTGTGGACGAAATTACTGACTGACATGCTAAACCTATTAAATATGTATTTTGCAAATTTTGCAATGAGGCAAAATGCTATGTAAAAATTTTTACAGATGCTGAATGATTGTAAGTGTGGTTAAAGATGTGGGCTGTTCTCCAACCCTGTGCTTTCGTGGATTGCTATTAGCTTACATTTGAAATCTCCGCTGGCCACGTATTTCATTGTTCTTCCAAATGCAATCATTTCTCTCTTTTATCTGATCTCCTACAGTCTCTCTGTTTTCATCAATATCTGACAGCAATTCCCACAGATCCAATATAGTCCACTCTAATATCCTTATGTGTACTCTCTGCTTTCTTTGAAATCTAATACCTTAGCAGTGAAATAATTTATTGTGCTTTATTTAGACTCTTATTTTTTGCATGTGTTTTGATACTATCCTTTTGAAAGGGGTTATTTGGAAATTTAAACCAACTGTTCAGCAAAAGTTATGAAAGCATGATTAAGAATTTTTCTCTCTTCTTAAATCCTTTTGTAAGCCTTCATTTTTTTTTCTAGTGTGCTAGGGAAGATGCCATGAAGTCTAAGGGTCTGGCAGTGATGGGATAGCACAGTACTTCTTGGAGCCCCGACTAATGGATGGAGCCATACAGAAGACCCAATGAGCCAGCAAAATCAATGCCAGTCCTATTATTCTGAGAACACGTAGATTATGTGGTTGTCAGAACCTGGCCATGTTTAATTCATTGCATTTGACCTTCATTGCATGGGACAGCAGAAGCACCAATGTACTTGTTGATAAACAAGGGAGAGCAACTAGGTTCCAAATTGTGCCTGCTATACTTTCATTCAGCTCGAGGCCTAAGAAATGCATTTTACAGGCACTATCTGGGAAAAAGTTTTATGGCTGCACTACAGTCTAATATGTGCATTGTTAAATGAAAGGGAAAATTTGTTCCAGTGAAGTAGTTGGCAAATACTATAAATCTCGATGGATAGGAAAATATGCTTTTTAATTAAAAAAAAAAAAGAAAGAAAGAAAGAAGCAGAACCCGAAAGCACATAATTTTTTTAAAAAATTCTGATTGAAGAACTTTTTAGAAAACCAGGCCTCCAGCAGCATGTGGCCGTCCATGTTCATCCTTTCCCAGTGTTTGTGACTTCTCTTCTCTCCTCTGCCGCTCTTCTTTTCTCTCCCTTCTTACTCGAGAATTGTCTTATGGATGAGCCAAAAAATTTGGGGCAAGAATGAAAACTGGTTTGCTTTATTGCTAACCTGTGAAAATGTGTTTTTCTGCCAGTGTTGTGGTGGTCATTTTTTTCCCTTCTTTCTCACATACCTCTATTCCTGGCAGCCCGGAGCTTGACATGCAAATAAAATCCCCTCATAAATAAGTAGACTATGTTTCTCGATTAGAATCTGAAAAACTCAGCTCCTTATTCTGCTCGTGCAAGATGTCCTTTCTACTGCTTATTGCAGAAGGTCCCTTCTCACCACCAGGTGGACAGACAGGGACATCTGAATGAATAATATGTCTGCTTCTTTAACTAAGACATGGAAATATGAGCTAAGGAGCTCCCTTGAGGATTGCCCGCAACTCTCAGTTCTCTGAGTCAGCAGCAGGAAGCTCTTTCTCTGAATTGGATTTTGTCTGGTGGGACCAAGTTTGCACCTAGACATGACTGTGGGCATTCATTCAATAAAAGCGTACAGTGTGTTTTGGGTGCTCTGAATACAAATAGTGTACAAAACAAAGATGGCTGCCTTCATGGAGTAATTCACACAGTTAGCTTTGGAACTGGCCAGTTAATTATTTCATAGTGTTGATTAAGCTCGAATTCTCTACCACGGTTACTAGATTGGACTTTACAAACCAATAATTGATTCTAATGCTCAATGAATCCTAGATCTCATAGCAAAGAATTCATCTACTTATAAGCAGTTATTACGATTGCCCTGAGGAACAGAGTAAGGAGTGATTAGCACTAACACATCATGGAGTTCTCTTAGCTCCCGGGGCCAATAGTTCCTGCAGATCTGACACATTAAAGGAAAAGCAAAATAAAAGGTAGATAATAAGAAATAGGAAGATAGATCTCCCTCATTGGGGAAGGAGATCAAGAGAAGAAGAGAGAAGAAGGGAAGGAGAAGGAAAAAGGAATACAGATCTATTATGTACATGTACCAACTCCACACAAGGAATATAAAGTGCTTTGCATTATAAACATATACTAATAAAAAATCTCTTAAAAACTTGAACATCTTTATCTTTCCTCTATTAAAAGTGGTGGGTAAGAGAAGAATAAGAAACAATGTGCATGCTTATTCATGAAAAGATAATGTTTTGAGCATCTCTTTTGGTAAGTATAAGAGTAGGAGGAATTGCCAAACTAGAGAAAAGTACTTGTAAAATGAATAAAACAGGATTCTTCTTTTAGAGACTCACAATCTAATGGAAACAATAGCCATGCAAGCAAGAAACATACTGCGATTTCTTTAGCCAATAACTATTCAGCATCTACTATGAGCAGGGCACGGAGCTACCCACTTGAGATACAGATCCCTGCCCTCTTGGAGCATCTGTTCAAATTGAGGGAATAAATAAACAAATGAGTATGTAAAGTGATAAAATGCAGTAAAATCAAGGTGACTATTGGAAGGAAAGGAGGGATCCTGATTTTAGAAAACAGGAAATTTACAGTCACACGATGGAACATGAAGACTCCTGGGAGTAGCCAAACCTCGAGCTAAGTCTCGAGGGCAGAAGTCAGTTGCACAAAGAAAGATCCAGGGAAGGATGCCACAGGCAGAGAGAACTGCTGGTGGGAAGGACAGAGAGGAGTCGGATTGGGTTGAAATGTTCACCCTTTGTGATAAAGTAGTTCCTGAAAGCTCTCCAGGCAAAGCAGCTGAGTTAGAGCTCCTTTCCTGGGACTGGAGATCAGGCAGCAAGGGGCTCTCTGCTGGACTAGTTCGCGTGTTGTTGAGCTTACTTACATGTGTGTCTGATTTCCCACTCGCCTCGGTGCGCTGTGCCTATGTGCATGTGCTGGGTTGTCTTGAGGTTTTCTTTCTTCCCCTTCCTCCTAGCACGTTTGAACACATCCCACTAAGACAATGAGAAGACTCTTGCAGAATGTGCACAGAATAATTAACCTAGGAAGAGTGAAAATGTTATCTCATCTGTCTCTCACCCTGAAGGCAAAATAGGTTTATTTTCATTCTATTTTTCACCAAAAAAAGAAAGAAAAGAAAAAAGAAACCTTGGAACTATCACAACCTGAACTACCCCAACTTGTAATTTTGCAGTATGGAGCACTGGGGGACAAAGGTGACAGCCAGACAGACAGTGGAACCTAGTGGTGAGAAATAAAAGACCTGGAGGAGATAAAAATGTAAAAGATGGTAGAGAAATAGAAACAAAGCTTCTGTATGCCTGAACTGGCAAGAAGGCATTTGAGGATGGAGAACTGAAGATGTGGGTGAGCTGGTGGTCGTACCTGTCACCCCACTGATCACCAGGCTGATGTGACTGCTGGATGGGTGTCCCCTTCCTCTCTCTCCAATCCATGTATGTCTCTCCTGAAGCTGAGTACTCGGGGAAAGAGGACTGCCATCTCAGAGAGAGGGTCACATCTCCTCAGTCAGGGTATAGGAGTGAGCTCCCTTGGTAGAACCTTGGAGCAAGTTCTGGAGCCTGGAGAATCAAGGCTCCAAATTAATAAGTGAATTGGCCAATTGTCCAAATACTCAGCATGCTTGAGGATTTGCTACAAGTTAAAGTGTATGATTCCAAACTGAAGTCAGACAATTTAATATCCTTTTTGAGGATGTGTGTTTTAGCTACTAGTAGTTCCAATACCTGAGTCACAGATGAGGTGTCCTGTCCTCATCTGTCAAAAATAAGAATAAACTGAATTTGTAAATTCTACTGAGTGAGTCTAAAAACTTTCTCATTGAACGTTACATAAGTGAGAGACAAAGCAAGAGCAGCTTCATGAGTAGTGTAATTCTACAGCACTGAGGGAAACAGCATTCGCTTCCCACTTCCAGATGCTTGCAAGGGCTGGAGCCAGCAGGGGTGAGGAAACAGGAAAAGCAGGCAGGCCCCATCCTGTAGATGTGCCACAGGGCATCAGGGTGCCCGTCTGCAGGGCCACCTGCTTCCATATACTTTTAAGTCTCATAAGTATAGTATAGAGAGACACAAAATGTCTGGAACAACCTAAACTGTGAGGAAGAATTTTATCTTGAGGATGTCACAGAGGGGTATTTGGGGGAAGAGATTGCGGTCCTATTATTTATAATCAATGACCAATGTAATAATTTTCACACTTTGTAGAAGTTAGCTTTCTAAAAGTTAACATAACTGCCCAAATTTTGTTTTATACTCTCAGTACCTCACAGAAACTTCACGAGAGCCCACAAAAATGAAACTATATTTTTAAACATCTTCAATATGAAAGCTCAGAAACTTCCATTTCCAAAATCAAAGTGAATTAAAAAAAAAAAAAAAACATAACAAGTCCTGCCGTTGGCACCGTGTATGTGTGAATTAAGATCATCTCAGTGACGTCCAAACACCAGCACTGACCACCCGAGCCCATCCCCATGAGGCCTTGTGGGTCGGCTCCTGGCACCAAATGAGCAGCTTGCACTGGACTAACCTGACTGTGGTGAGCTTTGTACATCCTAGAAAAACGCAGAGAGAGCACATACCTGTAGGCACATGGAAGGGAACAAACTATACAAAGACCAGAGAGGAACCACACCAGGCAGAAGGGAGCAGACGGGGTAAGTTTGCAGGTAGGGCCAGATGCAGTAGTCTTCTCTGTTGGATTAAGAAAACTCAAAACGTTTGCAGGACTTTTGACTTCAGGAATCAGACTTCAAGCAGCATAGCAAAGACTGAAGGAAAAGAAACCAGATTCTGCTCTATTCAAGTTTGCAGTTCAATTTCAGCCAGTTTAACTTTCTGCCTTAAAAAGATGAATATTCCTTTTCAAAAAGTGACAGAATTCAGAGTCTCTGCTCTGAAAAATTCAAATGGAACTTTTATAGTAAAAAACAAACATTTGGGATTTCAAAAAATTACATAATGGGTTTCATAGCAGGATGGGAGCCATAGAGTACAAAGACAGCAAACAGCAAACATGAAAATAGATAAATAGAGTCATTCAGTGTAAACAATGGAGAAACCAACATGCTTACTAAGGCTTAACAAACTCAGAGATCTTCAGGACAATTTCAAAAGATCAAACACATGTGGAATTATTACCCCATGAAAATAAGAAATAGGTAATAGTGCAGAAAAATTGAGGAATTAATTGTTGAAATTACCCAAGTTAATAAGAAATAGAAGAAATTGATTTTATATTCAAATGTTTTATAAATAAGAAAGATATAAATGCAAAGACCATGAAGCTAGACTCATGATAGTCAAACTCTCAAAATCAAAGATAAATTGAAAATGGACCAAGAATAAATAAACAATACACAAAAGGACATAGCAATGTAATTTAAACTATTTGTGGCTTCTCATTAGTCACAATGAATATTGGAAAATAGCGCAGCAGTGTTTTTAAAGGCTAATTATAAAAACAAGACAAATAAACAAAGTTAAAAAAAACCCACTCGGAATTTTACATTGAGTAAAAAACATCTCACAAGTATGAAATAGAAAATGCATAGCATTTTCAGATAAAAAGAAACTAAGAGATTCCATCACCACCAAACCTGTACCTAAAAAGTGTTGTTCTTTAGGGTAAAGAAGAAATGATGTCATTTGGAAACCCAAATCTGCAGGAAAGAATGAAGAACCCTGCAAATCAGAAATATAAAATTCTACATTTTCTCTTTAATTAAAAATGTATATAATTCTAAAGCAAAAATAACAATTACAGTTGTGGAGTTTTATGATTTATTTAGATGAAATACATGAAAAGTTTTGCACATAGGGCAATAAAAGCAGGAAATGGCCATATATGGTTGCAGACTTCTTATGGTATGAGAATTTACCCAACACTGACCCTAAATTTGACTCTCAATAGTCAAAGATGTGTATCGTAATCATTTCAACATTGTAATTAATGCAAATAATATCCAGAAAATTTAATAGAGACATGGAAATAAAATTCTGGAAATATTGAGTTACCTAAAAGAATTTAGAAGAGGAGAAAGGAGGAACAAAAGTTGAGAGGACATACAGAAAGCAAGTAGTGATTAATAGACTTCAATAAAACTGTGTCAAAAATGATATTAGGTGTACTCTAAACACTACAATGAAAATGCAGAGATTTTCAGATTGCAATTTTAAAAAGAAAGAGCCAGCTACATTCTATCAGCGAGACATAAATTTAAATGTGAAGACACAGATCAGTGGAAAATGCAGAAGGCCAAGAGAGCTGAAAGAGTATCAGCAAAGAACACTTCGAGATGAAACGGTGGGTGCACTGTATGACAAGATGATCAGTTCATCAAAAATGCATAAAAATCATGGATGTACATGCAGCCAATAGCAGAACTTCCAAATTCATAAAACACAAATTGGCAAATAAAAGGAGACATAGAACCTTCACAACTGTAGGGGAAGATTTTAAATTTCTCTTCAAGCAGTCCATATGACAATTTGAGAAGCAAAATACTGTATTAAAGATACAGAAGACTTCAACTGAACCCCAGCAAGCACTTCGACTTCTTTGGTTTTCATAAAATACTTCATCTAATAATGGCAGAATATGTGTTCGTTCAAGTGTATATAATGTAGCAAATGCTTGCATTCAGAAAGAAGGGCCTGAAATCAGAGGTAGGATAAACTGTTAAAGCCTGAAGGTTTAAGGAAGCTGGAAAAATATCATAATGCAAATCCAAAATAGGTAGGAAAAGGAGGGAGGGAAAGGAAATGAAAAGGGAATTAGGGTGTGTTATGTACTCTGTAAATGCTGCTTTACACACGTGGACTGATAAAGAAGTAACTGAGGGGAATGATGAATACGGTAATAACCAGCAAAGTAAAAAAAGACAGCAACAGCAGTGCTCCGGGACAAACACAGCGGGCGGTGTGTGACTCGACTGAGACTCATCCAGAGGGAGCTGGATTGTGAGCCCCAGTTGTATTTAAATTTCAAGCTATCTCTACATCTATTAAAGACGCTAACTTCGTTATTAAAGCCACTTGGCAAGGCAGCAGGGTCACACAGTTTTCCAGCCGATTTGTATCACTCATGCCCATGAGAGCTGCTACGTGCCGGGGACTCTGGGCTTGACTTTCCTGTGGCTCCACAGTGCAGCTGATTTTAGGTCTCTGCTATCTCAGAAAGAGACTGCCCTGGAGCGGGGAACGAGGGGTCCTGAGTTTCCCTGGCACAGCAGCACCCTGGAAGTGACTGTCCTCACAGTGCATTGGTCGGAGCTCACCGCAGGACCTCACGTGCTTTGGCAGGGTTGAAAGGTACAGTTTCTAACACTTCCAGGAGTGAAGGCACCAGCACTGGGTCAAAATCTCACACTGTCTGGGACATGGAACTGCTTTTTACCACTTTTGTCAATTGTTCAGAAAGTCTCATAATTATCTAAGCTGTGATTTCTGCAAATAAGGCTGGTTTGGTCTGAGTTGTGAAATTCTGTTTCCCATTAGCTTTTTTTTTTTTTTTTTCGATTTCATGAGCCTCTACAAAATTTCTGATCTGTTTTTAAAAGGACAGTTTTGCTGGACTGGATCTTCTAGTCATTCACCTATTTTCTGAAAGAGCAAGGCGAAACCAATGCCCGCTGTACCTTAACCCCTAGTCCCTGCTCCCACAGAGGCCTGCCGAGGTGCTCTTAGACTGGCGGGGAAGAAATGATAAACATTTTCCTGTTCTTTCGCTTAAAAGGATTGAACAAAACCAAATTTTGCACATTAATATAAAAATAATATATATTTTTAAAATCTTGAAATCATAGCTGAGTTCGTGTCTAGCAAATAAGTACTCTGTTATGGAACAGGCGAGCTGGTTGAGCTGCCTACAGTCATTCTCCAGAAAGGTTGGGAGGAACCATCACTTCCTTCAAGCAGGGGAACAAGGGGTTACAACAGATCCTAGATCGGAGGACCCTGATCTAAGGCCTCCCTTTTGTGATTCAGTAGTTAAAGATCTTGAATCTGAGCAAAATAGCCACCCAGTTAGTGCCGGGACCCCAGGCACTCACAAATCTGTGATGAGTGCTAAGCGGTTGGCAGCAGCAGGCTGTACCAGGGAAACAGGAGGAGCTGGAGGAGCTGCTGCAGGGGGTACCTGGGTGAAAGAGCTCTAGGATTCAACCTCTACAGGCAGCCCAGGGTTCAAATCCCATGTCCGCTTCTTAGCTTTGTGAACTTCTATCTTTCCTTTTGAGCTTAGTTTCTTACTCTTCAAAACAATGATAGGCATACGTATCTCTGTTTGTTTGTTTTTAAGTCTTTTTCCTTTTTATCGGTACCGGGGATCAAACTCATGACTGCCTGCTTGCAAGGCAGGCGCTTATGCCGCTGAGCTAAATCCCCAGCCCCCTGTTTGTTTGTTTTTTGTCATACGCAGCTCATAAAGCTCTGATGAGGACTAATTTGGACTATATCTGAAATATAAGAAATGTTCAATAAATCCAGTGAAGGTAACCAGGCTTCAGTAGGGAAATCATGGAAGCTTCTGACTAAAAATTACTTTAAAATTGTTGGCCCCTAATAAGTTTTCCTTAATATGAATGGTCACAGGCAGAAGCAGACAAGGGAGATTATATGGTGCTTTTCCTAGTGTTCGCTCTTACTAACTTGTTGACATTTTTAAGTCCGCATGCGCACGCACACACACGCCCTTCTCCATATTTTTCCTCTTTCACTGTTGGTAAATGCGTAACCCAAATGAGACTTGTTGGGACAAAGTGAAGTCCTGAAATAAACAGCGTGAACATCAGTAATGCTTTAATTTCCATGTTTCATGGTTATGCAAGCCCACTGCTCTGGAATTTCAACACAACCTTGAACCATCACCAACTTCAACTTTCCTCACACTTCAACCAGTAGTAATCGGGCCCTGCCTCCCTCCCCTGCCGCCACTGCTGGCATTTTCCTTGGTGCCTTTCCTTGACTGTGTTTAATTCTTCTTGGCAGCTGCAGGAGCTGATGCCAGACTCTTGTGCTGTCACGGCAGAGACATGACTCCCACTTTGGCAGCTGGACCCGCATGGAGACTTCCCTTGGGGAGACCTCTGCTCTTGATGGGGGCGCCCCTCTGCAACCGAAGTTGACTGTGGGGTTCAAGGGTCCGGTAGAACTGAGTGCAAACCATTGTTCATCTTCCTGTTTCCAAAGTATCACCAGGCAAGTTACTCGATATATGGAACCCTCAGCTTCCTCTTTTCTAAAATGAGAATAAAACTGTATTTACGTCAGAGCGTTGTTGGGGATTAAGCTAATTAGTGTAGATAATGTGTTCCTGGACGGTATTAAGCCCTCAGTAAATGTTAGTTACTGCTATTTCTGTTTCCCAGGGAGAGCCACTGCCCCTGTCCATTCACCCTTGGCTGCAGTGCTTGCAGCTCCATGGATAGCAGCTCAGGGTGGAGCTCCCGGGCTCTGGAGACGTCCCAGGCACAACACATGGCTCACTCCCATGCACCAGGCGTGTGCTGAGGCTGTGTGACAAACAGCGGCAAACTGGGTGGCTTAAAGCAACAGAGTCTACGGTCACAGTTCTGGAGATGAGAAGTCCCAAATAAAGGCATCGGTAGGGCTACTTTCTCTCTGCAACCTGTAGGGCAGATTCCTTGCTTATCTCTTTCAAATTCCTAATTTTCTCCAAGACCCACACCTTGTCACCTTTTTCCTGGATGTCTCTGTGTCTACACATTGCATTTTCATCTTTCAGTGTCTCTCTCCTCTTCTTAAAAGGATACTAGCAATGTTGCATGAAGAACAGTCTTACACCAGAAGGAAATCATCTTAACTACACCTGCAATGGCCTTATTTACATTAAGGTCACATTCTGAGGTTCCAGCAGGTAAGACTTCAACATGGCCTTTCCAGAGACACAATTCAGCCCACAGCCTGTGGGCTCTTTTTGTTCTCTGCAGGACCACCATTTAGTATTTGCTTGTGTTTGTGTTTCACACCATGGGGTTGCATTCAGGACCTGGCAGGAAGTGGAGGCCAGACATAACTTTTGATTGGCTCCCTTAGAAAGGGCTAGAGACTGATTGAGTTAGGACCAGAGGGCTCATTTTTCAAACTTAGGTAGACATCGGAATTGGCTAGCAGTGAGCCGCAGTACTGAGGACCCACCTGGAGTGATTTGGGGGAAAGCGGTTTGGGTGAAGCCTGGGTCTTTAGATTTTTAAAAGCTCCCTAGATGACCACAGGGTGCAGGCATATCTGCAAACCACTGGCCTGGAAGTACTCACAGTGAGCGGTGGCAGGTTTCCACTTGACTTAAAAAAATGAACTGAAGGAATGAGGCTGTGTGTTTATCCAGACCTCATGGGCCCAGCTGTATTTGAGAGCTCACACATTTTATTAGAATTCAAAATAGAAATATGGACGGTATATAGCATATAACATAAAACTTCAAGTGGAGTCTGGACAGTGCCCTTTCATCAGATTTTATATTTTTTGCAGTGAGACCTGTAAACATGTTATAAAAGATCTATATCAGTTGAAGTCGTATCTTGATGCCAAATGAGAACTGGCACTGAACTGTGAGAGAAATTTTTGGATTTAAATTCTTTATAGATTCATGAAGACAAGATGTAATCATAATACTCAGTATTTCAGAGCCAAGGTAATATGCATCAATATCATAGTGAAAGTATAGCATCCTAACTAGAAGGAAAGTGTGAAGGGTTTTGCTATACTGTGAGGGATTGGTCTGATCATCCATTTCTCTCACCAGAAGCAGCTCCCAAAGCCATATCTATACCTGCAGAGTTATTTACAAACTTTCTGTCAAAGCAACAAAAACATTTTAGGTTTTTGTTTGTGGCTACTGCTCCACTGCAAGCATGTACTGGGTGGAATCATGTCCCCTTGTTATAGCTAATGTCTAGATGCCCTCCCAAAGCTTCAAGCAGTCATGGGGGGTGGGCTTTTCACAGGTAGCTGGGTCTAGAGTATGTGATGCTGGGATAGAGGTGTGTGACTGGTAAATCAGCCCACTGATTGGTTTGGCGTAGTTCTACCTAGGATTAGGGGTGTAAGTGCTACACACTCCCTAGGGCAGGTACTGTAAGGGACATCTTGAGCCTCTCCACAAGAGGGGCACCATGAACTGTTCTCTGTGTCGCCCTCTGCCATGCCACCCTGGCAGAAGGTGGCACCTTGCAGTCAGCTGATTATGTACTGAAACCTCTACAGACTGTAAGCCAAACACTCTTTCCTCTCTTAACTTGGGTGTCAGGTATTTTGCCTCAGTAACAAGAAAAGTAACTAAGACAGCCCCCAAAGTCATGTCCTTTACCTAGCTGCAGCCTGCTGTGCACTGGCATGAGGAGAGAGCTGCTGCAAGTGTAATTTAAAATGAGATCACACTGCAGGGGGCTAACCCTGTCTCTAGGATGGTGGGAGAGATAGGCATGTGCCATATGAAGGTGACAGAGGACACAGGGACATCAACATTTGATATCAAAGGCAAAGATGGAGTTACCCAGCTGCCAGCCAGGGCTAAAGATTGTAGGTGACAGACGTGAAAAGCAAAGAACAGACATCATTCTTCTCTAGACCCTTCGGGGTCAGCATGGTCTGCTCCCTCAGATCTCAGACCCTTGTCCTTCTGCACAGTGAGGCGATGCATGGTGCTGCTGGAAGCCACCATGTTTGTGGTAATTTGCGATGGCAGCCCTACGACATTTACATTAGGGCATGGTGGTGGTTCTCACGAGAGAAAGAAGACTGAGCCTGATCTTTGTCACCATGCTGTGATGGGCTCTGCAGTGGAGAAAGTCTCACTGATCATTTTACAGCTGTGTGTATGTGTGGTGTGTACGCGGAAAGAGAGACAGAGACCCGAGTGTTGAAGCCATTGAAGCTGAATACATGTGCAGGGGGCTGTGGCATGGCCTGGGCATGGCTGAACTGAGAATGAGAAGACACCTCAGGGGCAAGACAGGCCACAGCAGAGGCCACCTGGAGACTTTCCGGATAGTTTTCCTTAATTAGCAGCCTCTGGTGCTCCCAGGGGTCCTTAAGCCCCGCCAAGATTCTTCCATTGTCCACTCAGCTCCTTGCTTGTTCTGATTAAATACGGGCTGCCTAGTGTCTCCGATCAGCCAGCTAGCAGAGTTATGAGCTCTGCTGAGGATCTCACTCCTCCTGCAGCCCTAAGAATCATGCGGGTGTCTCATTCCTTTGAGCCTTTGCTGTGCAGCCATTTGGAGAATTGGGGTCTAGGAACAGACTCAAATAACAGACAGAAACTCACTTGTGATAATTTTTTTCTTGCAGTACTGGGGATTAAACTCAGGGGTACTCTACCACTGAGCTATACCCCAACTTTTTTATTTTATTTAAGAAAGAGTCTAAGTTATCCTGGCTGGCCTCAAACTTGCTATTCGCCTGCCTCAGCCTCCCAATGAGCTGGTATTTCAGATGTGTGCTCCCATAGCAGGTCAAAGAAAAAATTTTAAACTAGTATTTTCATTTATTTCTAACTAGAGTAAAACCTGAATGAAGACTAAAAATGTTTCATGTAAGCTAAGAAATAAATTCATTCTACTGGTAGTTATTGAACTTCTCTGTGTAGATAACACACAGGAAGGGATAATTGCCATCATAGAATGTATAAGAAGGGGAGGAAATAAACAAATCAGTGACTAAATCAGAGCAAAAACTGATCTCTCCCCTGGTTTACTTCAGAAAAAAAGGGGCAGATAAACTGATTGATACAAAGAGATGCATGGGAAGCACGGAATAAAGGGAAACTTGCAGAGAGATCATCTAAAGGGATACTGGGGCAGAGCTGGGGCAGTTACCCTTCCGCCCCGCTTGATCTGCACCTCCTCACAGCTCATGTGCACCGTGCAGCCTCCCTGGAAGTCCCTGGAAGAGCTGATGTGCGAGTTACCCGCCTTGTCTCTTCAAGAGAGAAAGGGTGAACTGATGAGCTAAGACCTACAGGGGTGTAGTGAAGAGCAGCTTTTATGTTGGGCATAGGATGAGTTTGGGGAGCAGGTTGTCCCCACATTATAATAAGCCTGATTTTCATCTTGAGCAACTTATTATCATTCTCAGAGCCAGAATATTTGCATGACAATGTGACTCCCAGTGCTCATGAGGCAATGTCCTGCCCTCTATTGAAGCAACACTGTGCCCTTTTTTGGTTTACCTTTTTTAAGTTTATTGTTACAGTTTAGACATACATAATGATCATATCCATCATAGGGAATTTGTACCTGTACATGATATACCTTAGTTCCCCCTTTTCTCCCGTTACCAGAATCTCCCCTCTCTTCAACCCTTTTTTCCCTCCTTATTTACAAAACTTTGTTTTCATTTTATCATTTTTTCTCTTATATCTGCCCCCCGCCCCAGTCCCCTTTGCTTTGGGGAAATTTCTTCCTATTTCACAGTATCTATCCAGTATGCATTTTGGTTCTTATTTACACTTTCAGCGTCTGGAGTGTTCCCTTGTGCTGTTGAATCTGGTGCTGAAGGTAAGGCTGGCATTACTGCGTTCCACGTGACAGATGAGGAAGGTAAGTGACCTCCCATAACTGACTAGTGACAGCACAGCGACCAGCTTGGTCCCAGGCCTGGTGACTTCGGGCCCAGGGATGTGCATGTTGCCAGCCCAGATCTCTGTGCTCGATGGCACACGGCTGGGGTGAGGGCAAGCGTTACAGAAGCAGGACTTGGGATGAGCCCACTTCATCCAGAATAACTCAGCATCTTAGAACGTGGGGACCATGAGAACTTCAATACTTTCAGCCTCTGTTTTCTCAGGCCTGAAATGAGGCTTCTCCTACTGTCCTGGGAAGTAGACAGTGATTAATGATCTGATGGCCAAGGAGCCGTGATTTGAAGATGATATTCACAACTGGAAATTATTGTTAGAGGCAACGCATGCATCTGAAGTCATGAGCAGACCTCTAGCCAGGTGAGAGACGCTGGGCACGGAGCCACCTGCTGGGGGTCCCCTGCCATCTGCCACCAGGACTCCACTTCCATCCAGCAGCTGCGGCAGATGCTCCCTTGCCGGCTTTCCTGTCCACTTTGGAGGGGAGGGCGGTTGGGATGACAGGTGTGAGGACAGGCCACCTACGCAGCCTGTCACAGGCATTCCATGTGGGTGGCCCCTTCTGTGTCCTTCCTGGGTGCAGTCCCCATTCCTGCCACGACTTTCACAACCAAGAGCTAGGTCTGAAACTAATTTTGTCTCAGGCATTGTTTGGATGAAAATTTCTCTCTAATTCCTAATTTTGCAACTTATCACAGGATATGTGATTTGCTCATAGGAAATAATAAATCACCATAGCCATGCAAAACGATTTCCTGACATATTAATTGCCAGGGCAAAACACCACCCAATAAAAGGAAGTGATCTACCTCAGAGAACAGGAGTGTCCTGGCCTAACTGACAAGCTGATTAACTGAGTTCCAGGAGGTGTGGTCCCACCCACCTCCCGCAGGAAGAGGAAAGCATTCCATGGATACCTTCGAGGTGGAGACTTGCACTTCTCTGCAAACACAATTAATTCTCAGAAGATTTTGAAGGGCAGTTACCAGGTCTCGGTCCAGGTTAAAAAAAAGAAAGGGGGAAAAAATAATGATGAAGGAATTGATAGAAAGTACAGATATTACATAGTGGGTGAGTATGTAAGAAAAAAAAATGATTTAGGATAAACTGCCAAAGACTATTTTGAAAGCTGAAGACAGACAATTAGCAGGGATTTTTTCCCCCTTTAAACCAATACAGGAAAACTTGTGACATGGTTCCAGGGAGGGGAAGGAAAGGAAGGAAGAAAAAAACAAAGGAAGAAAGGCATTTTTATTATATGTCAGTGGAGCGAGGCATAACAGGGACAAAATCTGCACATTCACCTCTGATTTTAGAGAAAAAAAGACTTCGGAGGAAGGCTTTGTTCAGAGGTACACGGGGCCTGTACCAGCAAGAAAGGCGATAGATCTGGCAGCTTGAAGAATAGAAAGCTAACTATGCACTTAACCTCCAGTGATCTCGGCTTTTATCTTCCAGTTGGAGAGAGGAAAGACCTTCAGAATCAGGGTGTGAGTCTTAAAGACTGTATTTAAAGGTACAGAGATGCATGTGGGTCCAGTGGCCTCAAAGACATCTTTGTGCAAATTCGAACACAGCCCTTTGTCTTAGGGAGCACAGCCTCCCAGGAGTAGGGGGCTTTGACTTCATCCTCGGGGCCCCTGCGTAAAGCAGAAAGTGAGGTGTCTTACCTGAACACAGAGCGGCTGCCCACCAGGGCCCCGGGGGTGTGGAGGGGAGCATGCAGATTCTCTCCAGCAGCAGTCCTAGCAAACCCTGGAGCTCACTCCCTGTCAGTCAGTTTGGGACGCAGAAGATGAAACCTTTGTCCCCAGAGGAACCCCTCACTAGAGTGTCACCTGTGTTCCTCAGACAGACAGGCTGGAGCCCTTCAACTCTGCGTGTCACACAGACTAGATCCACAACTACGTGCAGCTTGGTTTTTATTTTTTTGTAAACTTAGCAATCGTTCTAACTTTCTCTGCTGCCTATAAAGAGAGAGAGGGAGTATTTCATTCATCTTTCCAAGAGTTCTGACTAGTGAGTCTGATTTAATGGCATGTGTGCGAGCTAATTTTATATGCCACTGGTTAGGCTACAGGTTTTGATCAAATATCAGTATAGGTGTGACTGTGAAGGTATGTTTTAGATGTGATAAACATAAAAATCAATCGACTTTGAATAAAGCAGTATACCCTTCACGCTCCCGTGGGCCTCATCCGATCTGTAGGAAACAACTAAGAGCGGAGGTGGAAGCTTCCTGCAGTGGGGATTCTCAGGAAGTAGGAACCCTTCCTGAGATTCCAGAACCCTGGCCTGAGCTACAAGGGTCAGCTTGTTAGACCTCACGATTACAGTAGACAATTCATGCTTAAAATCTCTCTTTCTACACACACACACACACACACACACACACACACATGGAACCATCTACCATTTGTCCTTAGGTAAGGTTCTCAGGAATAAGAACCCTGCCTGCACACATAGGTGGAGCAGCCTGGAGTCTTTCCTTCCTTCCTTCCTTCCTTCCTTCCTTCCTTCCTTCCTTCCTTCCTTCCTTTCTTCTTTCCTCTCCTTCAGCATTCTTTCCTTCTTTCCTTTGACCGTTTTTACTTCTTTCTTTTCTTATTACTTGGGGGAGGTGGTCATGGCGTATAAGACAAAGACTGTAATGCTCACCTTGCACCAGGGCAATCTATCCTCTCTTAAAAGGGGGTAGCAGGTTTTCTTCCTTGTTATTTCAGCATTCCTCATGGTAACTTGGTCCTAGATAGATATGATGGTTAATGCTGGTTGTCAACTTGACTGGGTGGAGTGGATCAGACACACTTCTGAGTGTGCTGTGAGCATGTTTCCAGAGAAGACTGGCATGTGAGGTGGTGAACCGAGGAAGAAAGGCCCTTGCTGGATGTAGCGGACTCCATCTAACAGGCCGGATGCCAAGATGAAATAGAAATCTGAAGGGGCAGCACGTATCTCCCCCTCACTCCTGCTCCCCTGAGGTGTGCATTTGGCTGCTGCCCTTACCACGCATATCATGCCAGTGCTGCAGCCTTTGGAAGCAGACTGTTACCAGCTGCCTTCCAGGGGCGGAGGGACCCTGTGCCCAGCCTAGGTGGCATCATTAGCCTTTATATTGTTTGGAGGCTTCTAGAACAGCAGGCACTGAACAGCCGGCTGCTTCCCTTTGCTCTCCAGCCTCCACACCCACTGGAGGATTTTCCAACCTCTGCTCTCATGAGCCCATCCAACAGATTCTCTCTCACACACACACACTCTATTGGTTCTGTCTTTTTGGAGAAGCTGAGCAAAGTGCTAGGCATGGGAGATTATAATACTTACATATTTAAAAGTAAAAGTATGAGAGATCTTGACTCTTTCATGCCCGTAGGCAGTCAAGGACTCCAAAAGATAAAGAAAAGCAATTAAAAACCCTGTTAGTAATTAAATAGGCTACCAATATGGCTTAATTTAAGGAAAACATTGTCCTCTGCTTACCCTAGTAGACAGGAGTTCAGTCTAAGTTCATCTGTGAAGAAAGAAAAATGACCAGTCCTCCCAGCAAGGACAACACAGTAGGAGGTCTGAATTGATAATAGCCTTAATGACCAACAGAAACTCTGCTGGTCACTCCCTCATTCTTTTTTTTAAACTTACCATTGTTGTGACATAATCATGTAGCTGATGCTTTTCAACTTATTCCATCTGTATGTTTATATTTGCAGAGTTTACTGTGTGAGTTCACACACCCTAGAGATCAGAGGTTCAGCCATTAATAACACAGAGGAAATGAGCGAGCTCCCCACGCCTTCCCGCCATCCCACCAGGTAGGCTGCTGGCCAAGCTCTGTAGTTGACTTTGTTTTGTGGCCAATCAGCTTCCAATGAGTAGGGCAGTCGTGTGGTGGGCTGTGTGTAATGAGCACCTCAGAAGGGGAATCCGTATATGACAGACACCCAAAGCTTTACAGAAAACATGCCAAAATTGTGCAAGACAACTTTTCACTGGACATGACCTCAGGCAATCTGATTATGGGGATTCCCGGGCCAAGCTGTTTTGAGAGTACTGTTCTGGGCTGGATTACAATTTATCTCGAATGCTTCTCCCTGCTGAAGTCCTTCCTTTTGATAGTTTTGCTGTTCTCAAGGAGTGTTATCCTTTATTTTCTGGAACAAATCTTCAGTATCAGAATCAGTCTCCAAAAAACAAGCCACGGGTAGAAGAGAAGTGACATAAATTTATGGGACCTGGAGAACAAACAAACAAGCAAACAAGTTTCTATGCTCAAGGATGACAGGCAGGCCCACAGTCTATGGCCAGGTTCTAAGATGTGAGCTGTGGGGACTGGACCCCACGTGAGTGCTAGGACCAGCACATCTCCAGTTGGGGACATGCTGTCAGGTCCCACTGTGTCCGTCAGCTTTCTCCAGTGACCTTGCCACTTGTTATGAAAAGTAAGATGAGATAGTCTGAAGGGGCTAGGGCAGCATTCTTGTGCAAATGAGGCACTGTCAGATTTGCTGGTGCTGACTCACACAGCTTGATGTTTTTGGCATCCCTGAAGGCATCACCTGAACATTGAGCATTGTGTAAGCCCAGACCTATCACTATTGTGCAAAAACAAGACTTCAGTGAGTGCTGCGGTCACCGCCACTCCTAATCATGCTGGAAAAAACCTGCAATAAGGACCAAGAATCAACAAATGGGGACACAGCAAATTAAAAATCTTCCGCGTGGAAAAAGAAACAGCCGGTAGAGTGAAAGGACAACCCACGGAATGGGGAAATTCTTTGCTAGCTGTTTCTCAGAGGACTCCTCTCTAGAACATATAAAGAACCCTTCCAAAAGACCCACAAAATAAAGGACCCCATTAAAAAATGAGCACATGAAATTAATAGGTGCTTCACAGAAGAAGTAGAAATCGCCAGTAAAGTCTGAAGAAATGTTTCACACCACGGGCCATTAGAGAAATGCAGATCAGAACAATACTGAGATTCCGCCTTCCTCCACAAGGAATAGCCATCATTAAGAAACCAGGTAATGCCAGCTTCTGGTTCACCTGGGAGAAAGGGGACCTGCCTGCATTGTTGTGGGAATATAAACTAGTACCTCCTCTACGGAAATCAGGGTGGGGAGTCCTCAAAAAGCTAAAACTAGAAATATCATTTGACCCAGTTTTTCCTTTCTAGGTATCTAGCACAGTGATACATAGAGACTCATTTATAGGAACACAACTTACAATAGCTTAATCTTAGAATTCAGCCATATGGATACAGGAAATGTGGTGTTTACCACAGTAGAACACTAGTCGGACTTAATGACAGACACGTTTATGTCAGTTGTAGGAAAATGGGTGCACTGAGGCCACAGTGTTCAGTGAAATAAATCAGACACGAACGCTTAACACACCTCATGGTTTCTTACATGCGAAATTTAAACTGTAAATAAACAGCAAAATATAAGACATACTAGGAAGTACCGAGATAGCTCTTTCTCAAAGGGAAAGAGATCAGGAGATGGAGGGGAGGAAAGGAAGGAAATCTGAAAATGAACAAAGATGTTTTATGTACACGCACCAGCTCCTCACAAGGAATGCAAGTGGTATGCATTAAAGCAGGTACCAATTAAAAAATAAAATTGAAACAAAAATTATACATGTGCACAGTACCCATTTTACTTTTAGCTTGCAAGGGCAAACCATCTGTGTATACAGACCTAGTATACGAATATATCAATATAAACTACAGGAATTCCTATTTAGCTACCTACTTATTTAGTGAGTTCAGGCTTAGGACCGAGGCACACTGTTTGGACTTACAAACTGTTTTTGGTACAGTTCTACACATCGTGTTTACAGAGACTCAATGTCTTTTCTATACAGCATACCTTCTTTACACAGTCCTGTGATTTTTGCTGATTGTACTGTACCTGGCACAGTACTGTGGTTTTATGTTGTTATACAGTACAGTCCTGTGTATATGAGTTTTGCAAATAAAAGCAAAGTCATAAAGTTGGTGTCGCTTTTGACCATCTCTTTGTTCTGAATACTGTAGCGTGCATACTTCACACAGTTCCTCATCTGGGAACCAATTAGTGTGACAACCTAGCGACATTAGTGAAGCTTGGCTGTTAAACGTGGAATGCATGTATATGAATACAGCCAGAGCTAATCTCTAATAAACATATTATTAAAATGTACTATGGAGATAGCAAGCTTTTCTATTGAAATTTCATTAGAATATAATTAAATCGATTTACTGAGGCACAGTGGTGAGACACACTCCAGGGTGTAGCTATGCTGGGTCACAGGCAAGGGCAGGCGCTTTGGCTACACACAGGGCATACAAACAGGTATAGTAACAATTCACAGGTGCCTTCACCTCACCCATTTACTCTTTGTGTTTTACAAATGGGAAAAGTGAAGTTGAAAGACGTGGGTTTGTGAGTTGCACGTGTGTACTGGGTTTCCAGGCCAGACTGAGAGCATGCTGTGGACCCTCGCTGAGGCTGTATTCCCCTGACCGAGGGAGGAGGGCAGGCTGTGAAAGAGGGAACCAAGAAGTCTAAGGAAACAGAACATGTGCAATGGTGCCGTGCTAGGTGAGAACAATTCAGACACTAAGTCCCCATCAAATCAATCACAGATATTTTCATATTATTGACAAATTCTAAATTACAGGCAATAGCAACACACCAAGCGTGCGTTCTGTGGGAAGACTGATACCAAGCACAAGGGCTGTAAGTTACTTTATCTTGTTGCCGAGGCAAAATTTCTGGCACCTAAAGTTGAAAGAGGAAAAGTTTTGTTTTTTTCAGCTCACAGTTTGTAGAGGTTTCAGTCCATCACAGGCTCACTCCAAAGCCGGGGGGCATGTTAGAGGGGCATAGCAAAGAGGAAGAGTTTGTGACAAGCAGGACAGGAAGAAGGCAACCAGCAGCGAGGTAGCAAGCAGTGACAACAGTCTTTTCTGCCCCCTGTATTTCATCCAGGTTATGTGCCCTGAGCGTGGGGAGCACTTACATCCAGGGCAGGGCTTCCCCTTGTCCGCACCTAGAATTACGCCAGAGCCATCAGTGGACCAATTCTGTAATCACACACACCTCTAACCTAGCATCACACCTGTGAGCCCAGCATCACATACTCCAGATTCAGCCGCCTCTGAAAAGCCTCCCCAATGATCCCGTGAGGCTTTGGGGGACATCTAGACACACGGCATGAAGCCCAGTGGGGGAATGAGGTTGGAATTAGGGCATGTGAAGGCTGGAGCGTCCAGTGCCATGACAGGGGATGGAGAGGGGGCAGTGGAGACAGGTTCAGGACGAGGCTGTCAGTTAGTGTGTCTGCATTTGCACTCGCTGTGAAGAGGTGGCACTATGTGGCTTAGAACTCGGGAGTGACATGGTTTGATGTGCGCTCTTCACGGGGACTTCTGTAAAAAGACTGCAACACAGAGTGCCAGGCATGGAAAAAGCAGGAAACCAGACAATCACTGCTGTCTAGGTGAATGATGAGGATCCTATCAGGGGAAGTGGGAAATGGTTGGATTCAGTGTGTTTTCTGAAAGTGGAACAGATGGATCCCTGGGTGTGTAAGAAAGAGAAAAATCAAAGATGACTCTCAGCCTTTTAGCTCCAGGACTGAGATAAATCGTACTGCCATTTTTTAACCTAGAGAAAATTACAAAAGCAGGTGTGGGGTGGGGGAAGACTCCGGTTTTGTGTACTTGAAGTGTGAGATGCTTATTAGATATCCAAGTTGAGTGTTGAAAAGACATTTAGGAAATTTGTTCCAGAGCTCAAGGGAAAGATAAAATCTGGGAGACATTGAAACACGTGCAGCAGAAAGAAGAAAGCAGCCCCCCAGCCTCCTCGGTTCTGCACAGCAGGAAATTGGGGCGCCTGCGGCCTGAGAGAGGTAACTGGTGGAAATATAACCTCTCATTGCATCCCACCTGTTCCCCCTTGTCCAAGCACCCTTGGAGATATCAAGAAAGATGTTATATGGGTGAGGTTTTCTGACGTTTTCCCCTCTTTAATTATTAAAGAATTCCAGATGCCTGGGTATTTGGAGGCAGTCAGATGGCAGACAGTTGGGTTTTGAATATAAAAGGCAATTTGGGCCATCTGTGGTACACACTCATGCTCTTTATAGAAAGAATGTTACCTGAAAGTTTTCACCAAGCTGTTTTAAACCAGGCCCATCTAGATAGAGAGGGAGTATCGGTTAAAATACCATATACCTGGAAATACATGTCTGAGCCTCAGAAGGGGTCGAGATCTGAATTCAGTGAATCTGGGCTTACTTAGATAGGTGTGGGGCTGAGCTTAAGGGAAGGACTGACAAAGAAAAGAAGATGGTTTTTGGAGGATATATGTGCTTGGAAATAACTGCGAGACAGAAAATCTGTGAAAAAGAAGACAAACAGAACTAAGTGTGGCTTCAGTGAGGGCAGCGAGCAGGAGCTTACATCCCCAGCAGCAGCTCTAGCAGGAGGGGCGCTTTCTACACTGAAGCCTTCAATGGGGATGAACTAGGCAAAGTTTATTTATGCTCATTTTTCTGTGTTTGCGGCAACATGCGGGGTAAGGTCACACCTTTGGGTGATGTTTTCACGGTAGTAGCTCTGAAGTTCTCTCTCTGGCTGAGCTTCCAGGCAGGAAGACTCCCATAGATAGAAAATGAACCAGGATGCCAGATCCTGTTCTCACGGCTTGCACGGCAGTGTGGAAATGGCACCCGCCCTCTTGATCCCATGCAAATGATCTAAAATAGGAACTCAGAAAGTCGGCAGCCCACACCCCGCCTGCACCCCGCTTTCATCTTCCT